AGCCTAAGGGCTTAAAGGCAATATCGTGTTAAATTAATGACGCCTATGGGCGTAAGGTTAGTGATATAATGAAATGATATGTGATGAATAATGAGTAAATGTGATTTGTGTATGACTATGTGATAATATGTATGGAATGTGATAAATGTTGTTTGTGAATGAGAAATGCAATGTGTATGTGATATGAAATGGCCTAAAAGGCGATGTTCTGTACTGGAAAGCCAATGAGGCGATGAGGGGATGATGTACAACCTGAATATGATGATACTGGAAGAGTCTAATTGGCAATATTGTGATACTGGAAAGCCTGTATGGCAGAAATGTGATGATACTGAGATAGCCTAATTGCCTATCGTGTGATACTAGAAAGCATATAAGGCGAAAACGTGATACTGGGAAGCCTATAAGGCGATGATGTGCTTATATGATATAGTGAATGTTACTATGTGAATGTTGTGATTATGTGAATAAATATGTGTTAAATGATTGATGGTACTGTTTGATACTTGTGATGTGACTAACTAAAGAATTGCTTGATCATTTAAATCAAACCTAACGGCGCCTTGTCATGCACTCTATGTGATTGGATATGGTGGGTATATGCCTAGCTCTCTGGGAGAGCAATACCAGTCCTGGTTATTGGCGATGCTTTATGCATCTATTGGTGGTGCTTAATGCATCTATTGGGCGGTGCTTAATGCATCTATTGGCGGTGCCTAAGGCATCTATTGGGCGGTGCTTTATGTATCTATTGGTGGTGCTTAACGCATCTATTGGCGATGCTTTATGCATCTACTGGATATACCCGGGGGAGTGCATGACTTGGCAAATTAAAGGCTAAAATACACTTAATCTGGCTAACCCCATTATGTGTATTGATGTGTACTGGTATGAATGTTTGATTGATTACAGGACTATACATGGTTTCATGTATGAAATGCCTTAGCAAGGTGAATACGATGTGTATGTGTGCATGATTGATCATGGGAATATGAATGATATGCTGAAATGTTTACTGGCATAACTGAAATGAGTAAGATGATGATACTTAGCATCATGTTATGGTTCATGATGTGGATTTTGATGAGTATATGTGAATGAGTAAATGGTGTCCTAGCACCAACATGTGATTGCCTGTCATTAGAGGTGTTTAATAGCGATATCCTATTTTAGATACCGAATAGTGATATTAGGTTCCTTAGCACAACGATAAGTGGATAGTGAAGTGACTGCTACTGAATAGTTAAAGAGAGAGTTCTTCCATTGATGATTGAATTTATAATTGGATACCGAATTGTTATGAGTGGAAGCATAGACATAGAGAATGAGCAGTAAATGACGTGTAACTAAAGGGTGTGATGCTAAATATCGCTTGTGTATTGTTGTTTATTTAGGTTTAGAATTTACTCACTGAGCGACGACTCACCCTTCGTCAAATATTTCCCCCCAGATCCAGAGCAGCTGCAAGAAGTGTTAGAAGTAGAAGCAATGGCTTCAACCTTCAACCTTTGATTCATGGGTGGGCGAAAGACTGAACATGTTTCCACATGAAATCTACTGTCAAACGGTTTACTTTTTGTACTTTGATTTGTAAAGTTTTAAATCAGGCCCGAAAACCTTTTATAAGTTTTATATATTTTATATAAAAGCAGATGTTCAGATAGGGTGTTATAAAGCTACCATCATGAATCTTATTGAGCAATATTTTGCTAATTCCTAGTTTTACTTTCAACCTTGTGTTAGTTAGTAGATTGACACATGAATTACCAATTTTCCTCACCTTTCAATCTGATTCTTGTGTTGTCCAGGACCTAGTAACCAACCAGATGATTGGCTTGGCAAAGCAAAGTAGGGGTCTTTACCACTTAATGTCAAGTCCAAAGAGTGAAATTACACCTTCAATAGCTTCAGTCAACAATTTCCATCCTTAGAAGATTAACCTATGGCATTGGCGCTTAAGGCATCCCAGTTCAAATAATATACATTTACTAGTGCATTGTAATCCTTTAGTTAGACATGAGACAGTGAAACACTGTTTTTTATTTAATCCATGTTGACATATGGGGGTCTTTGGAAGTTGAATTTTAGAATGGTTTCTCTTATCTTCTTACTGTGGTTGATGATCATTCACGAGCTATGTGGACTATTATGATGAAGCATAAATCAGAAACAAGGTCTTTTTTACAGAACTTCTGTGTTATAGTGAAGAATCAGTTTTCTAAATCTATTAAAACCATACAAAGTGATCAAGGTAGGGAATTTCAATGAATGAGTTTTATCGAGAACATGGGATATAACACCAAATGTCTTGTGTTGCCACCCCAGAACATAATGGAAGGGTAGAACGAAAGCACCTACATTGAGTAGTGGCAGAGCTAAGTTTCAGTATAGAGTTAGGCAATGCCTTTTTCTAGGATATCCTTTTGGCATCAAAGGGTACAAGCTTTTGATCTGGCTTCTCATGAAGTCTTCATGTCCAGAGATGTAACATTTTATGAAGACATCTTTCCTTTCCATGGTATGGTTGATGATGCAGAAGACACGCCTGTCTTCCCTGATTTGCTTACTGTCACATTTCCTTATGTCCAGCCTTATGGGGGCCAACCTACTCCATTTCCATTTGTTCCATCTTCAGCAACACCTGCTGATGATGATCATTTTTTTGTCTACTTCCAGTTCTCAACCTGCATCCTCATAACATGATCATTCCACAGATGGAGACTTCACTGATGCTGAGCCTGACTATCAAGAGGAGTCAGATGATGAATTACCACCAGGGGATGAATTGTATGACAATGAACTGCCCCCTAGGAACAGAAAACCACATGTTTGGCATAAGGATTATGTTACTACTATCAACCAGATTAGTCAGTATTGTATGACTAATTATGTTTCTTACCACCAGTTCACTCCTCGGTAGAAGAGGTATGCAACTAGTCTTGTTGCTTTTATGATCCTCGGTCATATAAGGAAGCATCGAAAGAGCATCATTGGGTCAAAGCTATGGAAGAGGAATTGAATTCCCTGACTGAGAATCGCACTTGGGATCTAGTGACTCTGCCATCTGGAAACAGGACCATAGGTTGCATATGGGTGTTCAAGACCAAACTCAAACCTGATGGATCAATTGAAAAGTATAAAGCTAGATTAGTTGCCAAAGGATTCACTCAAATCTATGGCATTGATTTTTTGGATACCTTCTCACTTGTTGCTAAGATAAATACATTTAAGACATTATTAGCAGTAGTAGCAGCCAGGAATTGGTGTTTACACCAATGGATGTCTCCAATGCTTTCTTGCATGGAGACTTGGAGGAGAAAGTGTATATGACTCCACCTCCTGAACTGGAAGGAAGTGAAGGAAATGTTTGTAGACTTAGTAAGTCTTTGTATGGATTGAAACAGTCCAGTAGGAAGTGGTTTGCCAAACTGACCTCTTCATTATTGAAAAATGGATTCTCTCAATCAGCTTTTGATGATTCAATGTTCACAAAGAAGGTGCAGGGAAGGATAGTCATTCTACTTGTGTATGTAGACATCATCTTGGCATGAGAGAAGATTGATGATCTTGAACTTGTGAAGTTATATTTGAAAAGAAGTTTCAAAATTAAGGACTAGGAGTTCTTAAGTACTTCTTGGGTTTGGAAATAGTGAGGAATGCTGATGGAATAGTGGAAAATCAACGAAAATATTGCACAGAGTTACTAGAAGACACTGGTTATGAAGATGCAAAAGAGACACAAACTCCTACTGATATGAAAGTAAGACTCAGTTCAAGAGAAGGAACCAGCATTGATGATCCTAAATGCTACAAGAGACTGATTGGAATGCTGCATTACTTGACCATAACCAGACCAGACATTTTCTTCACAGTGCAGCAGTTGAGCCCATTTTGAGGCAATCCTCTTGATACACACATGCAGGCAGCACAAAGGGTATTAAGATACTTGAAGAAATCCCCAGGGCAAGGGATTTTGTTCAGCGGCACTACATACTTCGCCATCACTGGTTACAGTGATTCAGACTGGGCAGCATGTCCAGATACCACAAGATCCATTACAGGTTTTTGCATTTACTTTGGGAATTCATTGGTTACATGTAAAAGCAAGAAACATACACTTGTGTCTAGGTCTTCTTTTGAAGCATAATGTAGAGCTCTAACTCATTTAGTTTGTGAAATTCAATGGCTTAAGGGACTGTTATCAGAGTTGGCAGTTCAAGTCAAGACTCCAATCACTGTCTATTGTGATAACATGTCAGCAATCCATATTGCTGAGAACCATGTTTTCATGAAAGAACAAAGCATATCAAGATTGATATGCATGTTACTAGAGAGAGGGTTAAGACTGACATGATTAGGCTAAGTCACTTATTACCTCAAATCAGCTTGCTGACATTTTCACTAAGGGAGTCATCAAGTATATGTTGTTGGAACTACTAGGCAAGATGGGAGTAATTGATGTATACTCTCCATCTTGTGGGGGCTTATTGGAGGATCAGCAAGGAGCTAATACTAGAGGAACATCAGCTATAGCAGTCTTGCATTGCAATCCTGATCAAGCAAGGACTGAGTCAATTCACCAGCATCAACACGATGGACTAAAGTGGAGAAGAATGAAAGTTTGGAACTGAGGAGGAAACTTCCACTGCGGCATCATTTTATTCATTTATGTGTTGATCTGTTTAGTGCAGATTAGTCTGTTAATAACGAGTCCAAACTAGATACGTGTCGGGCTTGAGTGAATGGATTTCAATTAACGGTTATTACTGTGTATTAACCATTGAGAACCCATATAAATATAAAATCTCTAAAGAGAGGATAGTAGGTTTTCCACTGCTCCTCCACCCCAAATATCAGGCCTTCTTTCACTTCTCTTATAACCATTACCAAAATCCCAAGTTTCTTTTTTAACTCTCCGACCTTTTCTCCCAACAACCGGTGAAAAACAAACCCCACCATCCCATTCCTACTTCCTTTAACTTTCTAAGCCCATCCCACCAATGTTTACTCTTTCGTCCTCCTCCGCGATGCCTCTCCTCCAATTCCCCGTCAATCGAGGATCATCGTATCTCACTGCTCCGTCGGTCAAGTTCTCTGTTCCCCTCCGCCGGGGACAGTATGTTCAAGCCTCTGTCGCCGTCTTCCCCAAGACAATTCCTGCATACTCCAACACCTCTAACCGCGCGATGCAGAGCCTGTACGAGATTCTGAAGGTCGAGCTAATGGCGTCATTTGGAGAGATTAAGGTCGCGTACAGGACCCTCGCCAAGATTCATCATCCAGATCGGGAACGCTTCGACAATGGCGATTGCAACTTCATGCAGATTCGTGATGCTTACGAGACACTCTCAGATCTAGTTGCGACTTGCGAGGTCGCTTTATGATGTGTCTTTGTGCAGGAGGAACCCCGTTGGTTCTTTCGGCTGGTATTATCCGACCTGGAGATGGGAGACGGATCAGTGCTGGTAGAGGTAGTTGCTGCCTTGCGCCGGCGGGAATGTTGTTTCGATGATCGCCCCTCACTCGCCTGCCAACCCGATTTTGGCCCTGCTATGTTTCCACTTTGGGCTTTTAGCCCATTTAGCTTCATTTCTGTTTTTTTTTATCTCTTAGACACACAAATGAGAAGGTGCAACAAAAAAAGAAAAGAAAAAAGGTGTAGGAGTAGGAATGTCACACATCCTAGTTTATAAAAAAAATTCCCTACATGTAAATTTATGTATTTATAAATTATAATGAAGTGGGGTAGAAGCAAAAACATTTTCGTGCTATTTTGTTAGTTCGTTGCTTGAAGTGAACATGCATGCATGCCATTTTTATGAGAAATTAAAACAATTCTCATTAAGCATCAACAAATATCAGAAAAACACCTGATATGCCTATCAAAGTCTCAAACAACCCCCTGTACATGATGTATCTATAGAACTAAGCATTTGTAGAGTTGGATTTGTCATTACTCGAAATTGTACTTCTTCATTGATTGTCACACCCAAACCCTCCGGATCATGAATTTTCTTAGTTCCATACATCTGAGAGCAACGTTCCCGCCACACATGGCTGAGGCCTGTACTCCAGATAAGTAGATAAAACCTCCTTTCTGGCTTTTTTTTGCTCTAGTGCTGCACACACCAGACTATTACATCCTCACAACTCCCCTGGTTCGGGGATAACTTATATAGAAGACATTTTTCCAGGACAAATATAGTGTTCGCTCACCAGCAGATGATCTATGTAACATTACGAACCTTTTCCTGACGAAAATATTGTCCACTTTGGGCCCAGAACTTGACCGTTTTTTACTTGAGGTGCAATTCAAGGTGACTTCCCCTAAGGTCAACCACCTTTGATGTACTCCACACTGAGCACGTTTAACTTTGGAGTTCTCACATAACTCTTCCATTTCACCTCAAAACGCATTTCGTTAGTTAAGGTCGGTTTTTTACTTATGAACCATTGATCTCTCCCGTGCTTTGTCGATGTGGATTTGCCTAAGGTGTTACATACTCCCCCCACCCCCTGGGACTCAACTTCCTCGTTAAGGTTTGCCCCACCATCCTTCAAGAGGGATAATACCACTTGTAACATCCTAAAAATTTCCCAAGCAAAATATTGTCCGCTTTTAGCCTCGAACCTCCCGTTTTTTGACTTGGGGTGCACTTCAAGGTGACTTCGCATAAGGCCACCCATCCTTGTTATAATCCACACTAAGCACGTTTAACTTCGGAGTTCTCACAAGAACTCTTCCATTTCACCCAAAGAAGCCACTGAGGCCACAACGTGATCGTGAGGCCTTCTCCACTGCTTTTTGCCAAGGCAAGGGGTTTTCCTTCTGATTTGCGCCAAGACGAGCTTAGACAAGTGCCTAGACGCGCTATTTAGAACCATGGATGCGGTATAGTGAAAAAAATGTGTAATCTCAGACTCCCAACCTCCTAAAAACAAAAAGGTTCCTTTCCTCGAGTATTCTTTGCCAATACCATTGTAACGAACCGAAAAAATTAGACCAGTAGAACCACTAAACCAGTTACAATAGCGGTTCAGTTCATTTAATTGAGCGCTTATGACAGACCCAACGGTTTTTAACGATTTGACATGAAATCAGATGAACCATCCCGGTTGGACTTGTCCACCGATTCACAATTTTATCCACAAAAACAAGAAACGAATACTTTAATTTAAACTAAGATCCTCAATAACTAATTTTATTTATGTTTCTTTCTTCATTTCCCATCCTCTTTGTTAGCTTTATTTGGTCCAATACGGACTGTCTCCCTCATTACTAACTTGAATGTAATAAAAACAATTGGGTAATGACTATTTATTACTCAAACCTTTTCAGATTATTTTTTATTAGCCAAACCTATAGAAATACTAAGAATTAATCAAATGTTAACTTCCAGTTAGCAATTTTGTTAGGAATATTGACTTAGCAACAAGGTACTCACTTGGAAGAGACACATAAAGGTCAACATTCCAAAATTTTAGTATTTTAACTAAGAAAAGAGTTACAAAATTATTAACGATAATGTAAAAATGGCTAATATTTTGATGCATTACGAAAGATTTGGCTAATTAATAGCATTTTAATAGGTTTGGATAATATAAAATAATTTGGAAAATGTTTGGATAAAAAATAGACATTACCAAAAAAAAATTGGATTGCTTTTGTAAGATAGTGTAAATACTTTCTTAGAATTTTTTTAAAGGAATTCTTAACAAATTTTTGGTGATAGATGATATAAATTTGAATATGTCTACAAAATAAATAAAAGTCAAATGAGAAAACTTGAAGCCCCATTTCAAATTTTCTGCATCCAGAGTGAAAGTAGGAAGGACATTTTGGTATTCACAATTACTTTTTTTTATTCATTAAATAAGAGACTTACTAGGATTCGAACCTTGACCACTTTAAAGAAAAGCAAATATCATAACCAATCACACTAAGTACATTTGTTGTATCTTTTTAAATTAAAAATATATAATCGCAGAGAGGAAAAAATTCTTCCCCCATTTCAAATTTCCTGCTTCAGGAGCGTTTGTAGGAAGGGTAGAATAGGGAGTGTCAATTTTTTTTCTTTTTCCTCTGTGGAACGGGCCAACTTACCGTACACATGCAGATTTAAACGAGTCTAGGAGTCTCAAAATTTTTTTTTAAGTCCTTTTATTTCTCGGTGGTGGTAAAATATATATGAAAAGGCAAAAACAATACTCCTTTTTATTGCTAAAAAGAAAAAAATTTAACAATAAACTAATGCATGGATTATAATGGGCTAATCGCTAATCATAAAATAAAAGAGTTGAATGGGCCTGACCTAAACGGGATTTGCCCATCAAGTAAAACAAATGAACATCATGGGTTTGTCATTCTAAAACAAGCTATTTTCTCTAGCATAATATATATTATGCTGTTATTTTATATCTTAGTGGCTAAAATATAATGTATTTTAAAGTTATTTAATGGTTCAACCTCAACCAACCTAATTAGTCCAATCTTTATAATTCAAATATATATTATGTAATTATTTGATATCATAATGATTAAATTATAGTGTATATTATAGGAAATTGTTTGGTATTTGTTAGTAAAAAACTAAACAGAAAGATCTATTTGGTTATTTTTAACATTAAAACGATCCTAAACATTTTCAGTTTCCTTTCGAAAGTCTATAGTTTTATTCCCGAATCAGTGATGTGCAAATGGCGAATTGCAGTCATCTCTTTTCTTTCGTTATTTTTTATTTTCAAATAGAAAGTTTAAAAGTAAAGAATAATTAGAGTTTGGCATGGGTCGATCAAACAGGCTGAATTTCAAGTTTTGACCCGTTTTGTTCAAGTCTAATTTATAATCACATGGTTCCCTGATACCCGATAAAAATCTCAATCCAAACCAGTTTGGCAGGTGAGTCTGTGTTTACCACCATTTTCTAGGGATACAGGAACGGTGGTTCATATCTCAAATCGTGTTGTTCATTCTTGATTTCTTTAGATTTTATCATAGTTTGGCAAAAAACCAAAAAGCACAATGATGACAAGATGAAAGTTTTATAAAGCATATTAATCGGCCAACGGGCCGAGTAAAAGCTAGCAACGATTATGAGATGCTCATTTCCCGAAAACCGGGGGGATAAGCGATTTTTTATTCGATTTTCTGGAATTCTGTTTCTATAAAATTTACTCCACCTCATCATATTACCAGAAATAATATTGTTTCACAAGGTAACAGGTACTTGATTTTGGTTCATAAGGCTGATTTTTGATTCGTTGCATCATTCATGTCTCTTTCCTACTAAAATTCACTATTTTTATCACGTATTTCCAAAAAAACAATACAATAATAAAGTATACATCCCATTATATTATCAAATTTCATACTCACCTTCCTCCAGCCAAATGGTCGAGGTCACGCTAATATATAATTAATCATAAATTCATTGGACCATCAACTACTAACTTTTTTAGGTTTTGAAAACATTGGCCAATACCAATATCCGAAATGTTCCTTTGGCAGCTTCCTGAAATACGACGCCATTTCTTGAAATAGTATTTGCCAGCACACCAGAAGCAAAATAGCGACAAAAAAAAAAAAGTAGAAAAGGTTGGAGAAACCCTAGTTAATCCTCCACCCGAGCGAGAGCCATCAGGTCGGCAAGTCAGTATCTCCTCCTAAGTCCTAACCCTAATTTCAAAAGGAACAGAATCTCTGGTTTTCCCCCTTTCCCAAGAAATCATTCCCCGCACCCAAATGAATCCCAGTCCCAATTCCAATCCCAATCCCAATCCGAAACCCTACCCAACTGCGCCACACGCAGCCCGCACTCAATCATCCTCCTCGGGCGACTGCGACAACTGCGCCACACGCAGCCCTTGGCTCCTCCACCATGTCCGCCTCCGCCGCATGCTCCGCCGTCTCTGCACCTCCTGCGTCCTCCGCCTCCACCCATCCTCCTTCTGCCCGATCTGCTTCTCAATCCACGGAGTGAAACAGCCAGATCGGGAACCAGGGGAGCTCCTCCGGTGCTCCAACTGCGCCTCTCTCACCCACTCCCGCTGCGCTCCTTCCCACCCTCTCCCGCCGTTCCCTTTCCTCTGCCCTCCCTGCTCCGACCCCACCTTTTCCTTCTTCTCCCCTCCCCCTGGGTCCCGCGTCTCCATCGACGCCAAGATGGCTACGGCTCTGCTCTGCGCCGCCAAGATCGCCGCATCGTCGATGGCTGAGGCGGTCAGGGCGGCGGAGGAGGAGGCCGGCCGGAGGGCTAAAGAAGCGGCCGTGTGTAGGAAGAGGGTGAAGGAGGCGCTGGATAAAGTCTCGGCCGTCGCCGCAGCGGCAAAGAAGAAAACGGTGCCACCGCCGGAATCCGGGAAGCCAAAGAGTACCGCCTGAAAGTAATCATCTTTGTTTAGCGAGAATCGGGCGAAAGAGTAGATGGAAGGGCGCGGTGGCAGTGGGAAATACGGGGAATTTTGTCAAGTGCGTGGGCAATGGTTTGTGCGTATTGGACTAGGATTCTGTATCTCTTCACTTGTTGATTGGTTAATCAAAATATTTTGGTCTCTGAATGGGTTTGTCATTAGCAGTAGTGTGTATTTGATCGGAAGAAATTAGAGTATTGCTTTGCTGCAGTTTAGCTCTGCTGGCCTTTCTGTTTGTGTCCAGGGAAACTTGATTTGATCTGGAAACTCCACTGACCAGAAAGAAAAGATTGGTTTTTATTTTTATCAACCAGAGAGTGTTTGGACGGACGTAATAATTGTAAGATCATCATGAAAGTGGAATATGGAAGTCCATAGTTGAGGATTTAGTGCTTACAAAACGAGAGAGAGAGAGAGAGAGAGAGAGAGAGGAAGAGCTGCTTGAGTCTAAGGCGCGCGCAGGGAACCCAACTGATCTTTGGCGGGGAATTGGGATGCTTCCTTATTCTCGTTTCTACTTGCTTTGGCCGGTATGAACTCTGACGGTGCTTCAGGTCGGTGGGTGATTGATTTGCTCTGACGCCGGCCGTATGCACATAGTCTTTGGATCAAATGACCTACTACTTGTAGTTTGTTTATCAATTCCGTTCAGGATGATAAGGTTGAAGCTCCCGCTTAACCTAGTCGAACCAACCCCTAAACATAAGTTGGAACAAGTCCGCTACTTGATATACTAGTAGAGGCTGATTTCAAAATCAAACATATTTTGGGTAAAGCAAAGCAGGAGGTTCCTTTCTTCCTCTCGCTGCTTTCTGTTTGACAAGCCCACTGCGAGGGAAGACACCTCAACTCAATCATGGATTCCTCAGCGAGTTGCCCGGTCTGTAACCAAAGCTTCCCGCCATCGCTGCTCCACTGGTAAGTTTTTTAATTTTAAAATCCTCACCTCTTCCCCCTGTTCGTTGAGAGCGCGCGCGATGATGGTGAATGGAAACAGGCATGTCGACACCCACTTCGATTCGGAGCAGGAGGAGAATCTTGTCGTTTCAAACGACGAGCAGCTTGCAAGAGACCTCGAATTGGCGGAGCAGCTTTCCCTCTCTCACGCGCTGCTAAATCAATCCCTAGACCAGGCGGAACCCCTCCTAATTGCTTCGCAGACCAGAAGCTCCTTCCATCGCGTTGCAACGGACGGCGGTTTGATGACCTTGCTGTACGAGAGGCTACAATCTGGAGGCGCCAAGTTCAATGGCCAGGGCAAGGGCAAGTACGCTGCCGCTGCCCCGGCGACTACCTTGTTGGCCGGTTACGTGGATCACTACCAAAGCAGGCGCGGGGAGGATTCCGGATGGGGTTGCGGATATCGCAACATCCAGATGCTGGCCTCTCACTTGCTCAATTCCAGGCCAGATGCAAGGGAAGTTCTATTTGGTGGTTCTGGTTTTGTTCCTGATATTCCTTTCCTCCAGGGTTGGCTTGAGGTCGCTTGGCGGAAGGGTTTCGATCCACTTGGCTCTCAACAGTTCCACCATTCCATCCGTGGCTCCAAACGCTGGATTGGTACTACTGAATGCGCTGCATTGTTGCGATCTTTTGGCATTCGAGCCAGAATTGTGGATTTCGGCCCTAAGAAATTGGAATCCCTTTTCCTCTCAGTTCCTGGTACTAGCGTTGCTCCTCCCAAGAAAAAGAAATCATCTCTTGTCCGAGGTCCCATGGATAGATATCTGGTTCGCAATGACACAAGAAAGGACGATAGTGGGCAGACGGATTCCAATTCATGTGGCGAGCCTCAGAGCAGCGGCAAGAATAGATTCTGCAATGGTGGAACCAGTCCCAATAACCCCTCGGATGCCCAGGTTCTGGTGGATTGGGTGTGGAACTACTTCTCGCATCAAGGGACCAAGGTCTCTGCCCAACAGCAACGAGTTGTGATGACTGGGAAAGCGTATGTTAATGATATGCTATTTACTGCTTTCGTGGATATGCAATTGTGATGTTGTTGAGATTTGTTATCCCTTTGGTATGCAGGCCGTTGTACTTCCAGCATGATGGGCACTCAAGAACCATAGTTGGGATTCAGTGTAAACAGCAACATAGTTATGGATCACCAGAGTACACTCTCTTGATATTGGACCCAGCTCATGTGAGTACAAAGCTGTCTAATTGTTTCTTCTATGTTTCTTTTATGAGGTTATATGACTTCAATAAAATACTTGAACTTACTGTCTTAGAATGATACGGAGAACAAAAAGATCCAGACTTTCGCCTACCCTGGTATTGGAACAGATTGCTTAGGCCTGGGTGGAAAGTTTTGCATCTGAAATAGCCATATGCTCAGAACGTAGAAAGTCATCTGAATGTTACTCCCAAGTACAATCTATGATTTTGCAAATGCTTGTCAGCTTTGAAGGAGCCAAGATATGTTCTTGTAGACAATGACTAGTACTGCATGAGATTTATGTACTTGTATTCTGTTTGCTAACATACAGAGGACAGAAGCTCTAGAAAGATCAATCAAAACGAATGGTCAATGGGAGAAGTCGATAAAAAGAGGAGTACACACATTGAAGAAAAGCCAATATCAGGTTAAAACTGATTTTTCTTTCGGCCCCTATACTTCGTTTTTGGGTATGTTGCATTGATGCAACTATCTGACACAAGGTTCTTAGACCCTGATCTGTTCCTGATTTTTGGTTTCTCCTTTCTTGTTTTGTTCACTTCTTTTTTCTATCCCTTCCAGATATGTTACATCGATCCAGGGATCGCAAGCATAGAAGAGATGGAGCTCCTCAAGAATTTAGATAGTACCTATTTTGAGTTGTGAGGAGGGGATATTGTCAAGGTTAGTAGTGCTCTGTTACTCTGGCAACATCAATTATGGGAAATGGTTGTGAAATCTCCTTTTGGCAGCAAGATTCACAGGTTTTGAAGACTTGTTGCAGCAGTGTCATCTAATTTAACATTAACCTCAGTGATGCTGAAAAGAATTGGGAGCAAGTGGCGCTTCCGGTGCTCCTTATTTTTAGCACGATCCTTTCATGTATCTTATGCATCTCAAAGCTTACTGTTATGTGGGAAATAAGTACCGGGACGTCATTTGTTGTATTCTTTTTAAGGGTGATATAGGTTTTGTATTAACATTTGGTGCCACTGAAGGGATTCAAACATGAAAACTCCAGCTCGAAGACTAATGGATTAACCGCTAGACCAAATCCTTATTCATGACGCCATTTGTTCTTATTGTTGATCCCTAGAGCATTTCACTGTTGAACCGTTAGATTGACATCCAGGGTACAAAATATTAACGGAAAGGGGCATCCTTGGATGGTGGCTTCAAATTTATGATGTACATTGCTTCTGCATCTGTTGAGAAGCTTCATCTTTTGTTGTAAATAACAACAGTTTATGACCCAGAATTAGCTAATATCATAGTCCCTGAGCACTTGCTAGCAAATTCTACCTTGTTAATGCACCAAGTAAAACCTCAAAATCTACTCAGATGTTGCTCTGCATTGATATTTCCAATATCCAATGTCAAGTAACATCTCCCTGTGTTCAATTAACATTTGATGAGTGCCTTAGAAAAGTGTCTAATTCGGAAAGGCCATTCCAAAACTAGAAGGTAACTGGGAATCAAGGTTTACTTCATGTCAAACATGCTACAGCTACAACCCCTACAAAAACAATCCAATAGATTTGATTTGAGGCCTATCACTTGTCCTGATATGTCTCTTGTCACCAGTTTGCTACTCTCCTTTGTTCTTCTGCAGCGAAAAGCCAGACTCGCCCTTCACATGGTTTCCCTCAATATTGTGGTGATCTTCAATGGAAAATCTTTTATCCACGCCTCCTGACAACTCAAGTGAAGGAGAGCTCCCCTCACCAGCATTAGGAGTCTTTCCAAGCAAGCTTTTGTACACAGTCAGCGCTTGGGCAATCATGCTGGCCGGATTAGCGGTAGAAGAAGGAAGCAACACTGTAGTCCCCTGGTAAGGATGCATTGCAAAATGGTAAACGAAATGTAAACTAAATCACCCAATAGGAAACCCAAATTCACTCGATTCTTTACCTCCTTGGCAATATTGCCGAAGGCATGGATATATTGTTCAGCAACTTTTAGACTTGCTGCCTGCAAGCACACCATGATGTCAATAAAGAATGGACCCGTTTGTCCTATTGTGCTTAGGGATAAGTGAATCTGATTACAACTACTAAGGAAAAGGAACATTCTGCTACGGCATTTAAGGGATTCAGATACTCACCTCTACTCCACCACTCTCCTTGAGGGTTTTCGACACGAGGGTGATTCCTTTGGCTGTAGCGTCAGCTTTAGCTAGGATGGCTTGTGCTTCACCTGATAATGACATACTTGCAGGTTAGCTGGGATGCAATTGTATGGAAATTTTTAAGACACACATCATTGGATGCTAAGTTATATCCTTGCTTAATCAATATAAACAATGCTGAGACTGAAATCCGTAAGCTATAGAAAACAGGTAACTAGCTTTTCAGAGATGGAAAATTAAGATTAAAAAAAAAAAAATTGGACGCTTTACCAATGGAATCCCTGACCCTGAGGACACTTAAAAGAAAGGCTATAGAAGGGAATACAACGTTCAACCTATATGCCAACTGCCCAAGACTTGAGTCCATATATAAGGACAGTCCACGGATATTCACGAAGCAGGTTCAAATTTATTCATGTTGAACATAATTGCCTGTCTCTCATGTTGAACATAATTGCGTAAGAGTATAACTTGCCTTCCGCTGACAATATGGCAGCAAGTTTCCTTCCATCAGCAATATTAATGTTTGCCTGTCTCTCTCCTGTTACAATGCGATTGAGAAAAATAAAGAACGAGGAGAAGTGAAGGTTTCACGAGATAAGCAACGAGTATATACCAATCTGTAATTTAGGATTGCATAATGAACAGGCACTATTACAGTATTACCTTCAGACTCAAGAACTTGGGCCCTCTTTTTACGTTCAGCTTCTGCCTGCATCTCCATGGCTACTCTTACTCCACGTGGTGGATTAATATCCCCTACAGAAGAAAAATTCCAGTTAGCAGTATAGGATAGGTCTAAATGAAAATGCAGATAGGATATTAAAGGGTTCACAGTAATGACTCACTTATTTCATAGCGAAGGCATTGAAGACCCCAGTCACTTGCAGCAACATTAATGGCTTCCTGAAATAGTTTTAGAAATTCGTTTGCGATTATGTTTATCCATATATGAAATAAGGTGAAACATAGTAAGAGAGTTTGACATGTTTTAGCCAGTAGAGTAAAGTAAATAAGGGCAATATACCACAATTTTCTCATTGAGAGTGTCTCGTTCCTCAAAGGTCTTATCAAGTGTAATTTTTCCAAGCTCGCTACGCATGGTTGTCTGTGCCAACTGAATAACAGCATAGATTGGATTCTCAACTCCATAAGAGGCCAACTTAGGATCAACAATCTGCAAACAGTAGATAGTACATGTTAACATAATTCTGACCAGTTCATACCTGAGTAGACAAAAAATGAAGCAAAAACAAAAGGAAGAAAGAAACCTTGACATAGAGAACGCCATCAATGAGAATGCTGACATTGTCCTTGGTGATAGCGGACTGATCAGGAATCGGAATGGCCTCTTCCTTTAAGGAATGTACATAAGCAATTCGATCCACAAATGGGATCAAGAAGTGAAGTCCAGATGGAAGTGTCTTCACGTACTTGCCAAATCGCTCTATCACGTATGCCTTCTTCTCTGGCACAATCCGGATCCCCCAGTTCATCGGTGGGGCTATATCATAACTGACCAAGTAGAGGAAAGCTTTCTAATTATTTCCAGTTGGGAGCAAAAAGGAAAAAAGAAGAAGGAAATGGAATATAAGTAGATACCCAGTGCTGGCATCACGGATAGAGCGGATATGGCGAACCGGGACAATGGAGAAGGGGGATGTTAGAGGGCTCCGTAGTGTGGGAAGGGAAGACTGGCGGCCATGGGAGATGGAGCCGGGGGCAGAAGAGGTCGAAATTGGAGCTGTAATGGTAAAGAGGGTTGGGAGTTTCGGTGAGTCAAGCAGCACTGCTGCTGCTTGCTGCCTGAATCGAAAGGTTTGCTTCACAAGCCGAGTGCTGCTACTTCTCCACATCCTTCCTATACTCTGCAAAATTTTCATATTCAAGGGGTTTGAGTTGGAGAGCAAAGGATCAGAAATCAAATCTGGAAAACCGTCATCTTAAGACAAACAGAGTTGGAGTGCCTGAATTGAAAGGATAGTTTCCCAAACAGAATCTCAGACACGAATGCTCAAAACCAATGAAAGAACCAACAGAGAATGAAAGCAAAACCAACGAGGTCCAGGCCATATCTACTCCAACATCAATGCTCAATCAGATAACTGAGTTCGCTGAGAATGACATAATTAACACCGACAATAATAGATAAAACCAATCCCTAGCTAGGTTGGGCCATCCCTCAGATACGAATACTCAAGGTAACCTAAATCAAAGACGTTAGAGCAGAAAAGGTTTCTGATCTTCCATCAACCAATCACAAAAACAAGCCTAGTCCCAAGTTCGACAGAGAGAGTATCAAAATGAAATCATTCACGGAAGCATATAGATTCTTCTAATCGACCGAATCAACACAGTTTGTGGGCCTCATATCGGTACGTGGCTAGTTCCTAGACATGAAATCATTCACGGTGACTGGTGAGGAAAGAGTGACAGAACGATACCAGAGATCAATTGATCAAACGAGGCGGGCAACACTGAAAGCGGCGGCGACGGAAGAGTAACAGAATGAACTCGCTTTCTCTCTCTCTCTGTCTCTCTCTCTCTCCGGATGTCTGCTTCTCCTCGGGCAACTAATTGAAGGACCTCGTCTTTCACTTGCAGAAGCTAAGCCCGCGATCTCTTCATTAAGATTTGATTTCTGCAAAACCCATACAAAACCCTTCCTTCATCTATACATGATGTGATGATACGGGAGAATTTCCGCCTTACCCAACAAGAAATACAACCCCCGCTGCCGCTACCCGTAGCCCAATCCGCATTGGCGTACCTCAAATTTCTATGTCTTCTATTTTAGTCCTCTAAATTTTAGCTTTCTGATATTGTATTCTCTTGTGTTATGTGTGTTATTTCCTAGTTCATTTTTATTTATTTGTTCACTAGTTGTTAGTCATTTAATAGCATAGTCTATAATTATTCTCTGTGTAGCTGTTATTATGTGAGTTGTAAGTAAATATATCTATATATTTTTGATACATTATCAAACAAGCCCTCTATTAAAGTTTATGACAAAAAAAAAATGATTAACCACTGTTAAATCTTGTACTGTTAAGGATTTATAAGGGACAAAATTGGTACAACTACTCCATTAGGAAATACGTACCTGTTTTTTTTGGGGGTTGCTAATTATCGCCCTGTGTTTTACTTTAATCGCCCTAACTTACAAATGACAATTACATTTTTATCCTTTTCTTTGTTTATTATTAAAAAATAGTTTAATTTTAACAAACAACCCATAAAAACTAGTTGGCCGTTGGAATTACCCTGCCGTTTCCCGTTCCGGGAAGGAGGGCGATTTCAACTCCCACGGCATTTTTTTCCCCCGGTAGATTGAAGGGCTAATTGTTACACATGCAAATTATATGAGTTTTTTATATATATTTAGTTTCTTTACGATATTATATATTCAGTTTTTATATATGTATTCTGCTGCTCAACGTCATTGTTAACGTTTGAATTTTTTATTATAATTCAGTTGCTTTATTTACCCGTTGCAAGTAAACATCATTCAGCTAAACTCTATTATCTATGAAGCTATAGTTTCTTACTTTCTTCCAAATCAACAGCTCCTCTCCCAACGAGAACCTCTAGTCTATCAACAATTCTTGTAGCTGCCTGGTTGATCAAGGAATTAATCCTTGTCCGCCAATCCACTTCGGCCAATAACAAAATGAGCAATGGAAATGAGGTATGTCGGTAAATTCTGGTAAGCAAGCGACGGCAAGAAGGTGGAGAGGTTGGGTTCTCCGATCCGAGCGAGTGACGGCAACCGGCCAAGCTGGCGTATGCTTACCTGAGGAAAAGGAAGCTTGCTGCGGCGCCGGAGGACAAGAAGGCAGGCTTGGAACAGGGGAAGTTGCGTTTAGTGGGTCTGCGAGGCGGCTGAGCGGTAGTGGAGGTGTTCATCAGAAAGAAAATTCGGGTGTTAAGGTAACCAATGGAGGTCACATGGAGAAGAAAGAGGGGAAATCAGAAAGCAGTACTAGTGCGAAGAAGGAACCCTGTATGCCATTTACAACGGATGCGAGCATAAAATATATGATTACTTTGCCAGAAACGACGGCGGCGATGAGAAATCGCTGTCCGGGAAGCTGGCTTGGAGTTGTATTTATGCGAGGAAGGAGATAGGGCCCATAGGGGCTGTTTGTTTTTATTAATTTTGTATTCAGTTATTTAAGGTTAATTAAGTAATTTTGCAATTTTAAGTTAGGGCGATTAAATTAATTAGGGCGAGGTTTAGCCATTCAGAAAAAATGTCGTGGGAGTTGAAATCGCCCTCCTTCCCGGAACGGGAAACGGCAGGGTAATTCCAACGGCCAACTAGTTTTTATGGGTTGTTTGTTAAAATTAAACTATTTTTTAATAATAAACAAAGAAAAGGATAAAAATGTAATTGTCATTTGTAAGTTAGGGCGATTAAAGTAAAACACAGGGCGATAATTAGCAACCCCCTTTTTTTATAGGAGAAATACGTACCTTAAGGAAAAGATTACATGGAGCTTCAAGTTCCTTGATTAATGGGACCGGTTACTATCACAACACCCCTTGTGTTGTTATTGTAACAACACTAATCTCCAACTAATAGGAAGTTAGGGTTGTGATGACTTTTTATTAGATGAGTTGACCTAGTGTAAAATCAAAGCAGGGGTATAATTGTCATTATGAAAAATATATTTAAATAATAAAAAAATATATTTTTTTATTTTCGTGCCAAAATTTTGGTCGCCGGAATTCGGTCATCTGTCGCCGGTCACCGGAATATGCTTTTTTGTCGCCGGAATATGCTATTTTGTCATCGGAATATGCCATCGTCGCCGGAATATGCTCACAGTGGTCGGAATATGCTTACCGGCGTCGGAATGTAGTCATCGGGGTCGGAATATGCCTATTGGCGCCGAAATCTACTCACTGACGGTCATCAGAGTTTGGTCAACGACCACCGGATGTTATGGTCTGCATTGTGAGATTTATGGTTTGGTTTCTCATATTTTTGTATGCCTTTTGTGGTTTGCTTTATCGTGTTTGTGGTTTGCATTAAGAAGTTTCTAGTTTGCTTTATCGTGTTTGTGGTTTGCATTGAGAAGTTTCTCGTTTGTTTTCAAAAACTTTGTGGTTTGCATTGAGGGGTTTCTGGTTTGTTTTAATATATTTGTAGTCTGCATTGGGACGTTTATGGTTTGCTTTTTTGTGGTTTGATTTACTGTTGTGGTTTGCATTATGAGGTTTCTGGTATGCTTCGCAAATGTTGTGGTTTGCTTTGTGAGGTTTGTGGTTTGTTTTAGGAGATTTGTGGTATGCATTCGGAAGTTTCTGGTTTGCATTAAGAAGTTTCTGGTGTGCTTTCGAAACTTTTGTGGTTTGCTTTGCAAGGTTTCTGGTTTGTTTTAATATATTTGTGGTCTGCATTAGGACGTTTTTGGTTTGCTTTATAGTGTTTGTGGTTTGCATTAGGGGGTTTCTGGTGTGCTTTTCAAAATATTTGTGGTTTGCTATGTGAGGTTCTGGTGTGTTTTAGGGAATTTGTGGTATGCATTAGAAGGTTTCTGGTATGCTTTTTTGTGGTTTGTTTTACCGCGTTTGTGGTTTGTTTTATGAAGTTTCTGGTGTGCTTTGTGGTGTTTTTGGTTTGTTTTAGGAGAGTTATGGTTTGTATAATAAGGTTTTTGGTGTACTTTAAAAATATTTATGGCTCACTTTGTGGTGTTTCTGTTTTGCTTCACGAGACTTATGTTCTACATTAGGATGCTTCTGATACATCATAAAACAAAAAAAATATGATAAAATTTGTTGATCTTAGAGACAATTGATATCAAGTGATTAGGTCAAAACCGGGTTGCTCAATTAGTACGATATTGTCCGCTTTGGGCCAAGCCCGCACGGTTTTACTCTTGGGTATCCTCCCCAAAAGGCCTCGTACTAATTGGGCTAGGTGGACTCTAATATACAAGGGTTCCTTCCCTTGTATTTCCGATGTGGTACTTGGATTGTCCCATAACAATCCTCCCCTCAAGCCAAGGACCACGAACTTCGTGTCCTCACCTCAGCAATTATCTTGATCCGCCAGACGCCTTGTATCGATGGGATTCTCGGTACAAGGACTTTCCCAGACGTGGAACTCTCTTTGATCCGCCAAACAGAAGTGGATCTCTCCACCAGACAAATGCGGACCTCCCTCGATCCGCCAGATGAGCCCAAACGTGGATCTCTCGTGGATCCACCAAACCAGACGCAGATCACAAATCCTGAGGCCACCGAATGAGGATCCACCAAAATGACGTCCACCGCCCCGCACCGAACCAGGCTCTGATACCACTTGTCGAATCGGGCCACTCAATTAGTACGATATTGTCCGCTTTGGGCCAAGCCCGCACGGTTTTACTCTTGGGTGTCCTCCCCAAAAGGCCTCGTACTAATGAGCTTGGTGGACACTAATATACAAGGGTTCCTTCCCTTGTATTACCGATGTGGTACTTGGATTGTCCCATAACAATCCTCCCCTCAAGCCAAGGACCACGAACTTCGTGTCCTCACCTCAGCAATTATCTTGATCCGCCAGACGCCTTGTATCGATGGGCTTCTCGGTACAAGGACTTTACCAGACGCAGAACTCTCTTTGATCTGCTTCCCAACCGCGGAACTCTCTTTGATCCGCCAAACAGAAGTGGATCTCTCCACCAGACAAATGCGGACCTCCCTCGATCCGCCAGATGAGCCCAAACGTGGATCTCTCGTGGATCCACCAAACCAGACGCAGATCACAAATCCCGAGGCCACCGAATGAGGGTCCACCAAACTGACGTCCACCGCCCCGCACCGAACCAGGCTCTGATACCACTTGTCGAATCGGGCCACTCAATTAGTACGATATTGTCCGCTTTGGGCCAAGCCCGCACGGTTTTACTCTTGGGTGTCCTCCCCAAAAGGCCTCGTACTAATGAGCTTGGTGGACACTAATATACAAGGGTTCCTTCCCTTGTATTACCGATGTGGTACTTGGATTGTCCCATAACAATCCTCCCCTCAAGCCAAGGACCACAAACTTCGTGTCCTCACCTCAGCAATTATCTTGATCCGCAGACGCCTTGTATCGATGGGCTTCTCGGTACAAGGACTTTACCAGACGCAGAACTCTCTTTGATCTGCTTCCCAACCGCGGAACTCTCTTTGATCCGCCAAAGCCCAAACGTGGATCTCCCGTGGATCCACCAAACAGGCGCGAATCGCAAATCCCGAGGCCACTGAATGAGGGTCCACCAAACTGACGTCCACCGCCCAGAACCGAACCAGGCTCTGATACCACTTGTCAAACCGGGGTGCTCAATTAGTACGATATTGTCCGCTTTGGGCCAAGCCCGCACGGTTTTACTCTTGGGTATCCTCCCCAAAAGGCCTCGTACTAATTGGGCTAGGTGGGCTCTAATATACAAGGGTTCCTTCCCTTGTATTTCCGATGTGGTACTTGGATTGTCCCATAACAATCCTCCCCTCAAGCCAAGGACCACGAACTTCGTGTCCTCACCTCAGCAATTATCTTGATCCGGCAGACGCCTTGTATCGATGGGCTTCTCGGTACAAGGACTTTACCAGACGCAGAACTCTCTTTGATCTGCTTCCCAACCGCGGAACTCTCTTTGATCCGCCAAAGCCCAAACGTGGATCTCTCGTGGATCCACCAAACAGACGCGAATCGCAAATCCCGAGGCCACTGAATGAGGGTCCACCAAACTGACGTCCACCGCCCCGGATCTGAACCAGGCTCTGATACCACTTGTCAAACCGGGGTGCTCAATTAGTACGATATTGTCCGCTTTGGGCCAAGCCCGCACGGTTTTACTCTTGGGTGTCCTCCCCAAAAGGCCTCGTACTAATTGGGCTAGGTGGACTCTAATATACAAGGGTTCCTTCCCTTGTATTTCCGATGTGGTACTTGGATTGTACCCTAACACATTATATTGTCAGAAAACAACCAGAGTGATGCATATATAAACAACATAAATTGTCGGCTTGCTATTACCAATACTCTTTATCTTTGTAACCATTGGGGCTTGCGGGCTGCATGACTTCAGAGGGACTAAAATTGCCGACTGCTAATACGAAGCTATTGATGGAATTGGAATTCAGCAATATCACGATTGCCCGCCGTCATCCACGCCTGCATGTCCAGGTTCACTCGGTGAGACACCAGCGATTTGCTCATGCACAACTTGAGGATCTACGACCTGGATATCTAGCCCGGACCGGACCGTAGATCAGCCGGTCAGTTTGTCTCGCCGATTGCAAATATCATTCCTCCTCGGCAACCCGTCCATCTCCTTCCGTAGCTCATTCAAAATCATGTCCTCTGCCAGTGTCCCCTTGACTTCCGCCTCTCTAAACCGTGATCGAGTTCGATTCGTCAAAGAAGAGCAATCATGATGTCGTCTGTTGAGCAGCAGCAGAAAATATCCCTCCTGATTTCCACCGATTTTCGTTTCCTTCGATCCAGTCTCTATTCGCGTCATCGGCACAATCTTCGTCGGACCTGAGGGGAGACAAAATCTAATCAAAGAAAGGAAGATTTGATGATGATTGCTTGAAATTGACTGGTCGTAGCAAGCAGCGCGGAGCACCAACTGGCCGCAGAACGCGACGAAGTTGAAGCGGCGGCATCGCAATCCAATGATCCAGATCTCCTCGAGAAATTACGGGAGCAGTGAAATCCTGTGCACCAGATCCGTAGAATCGTTCATGAGCAGCGACGACGGAGGCGCTCCCGCTTCCTTCAACGAGATTGATGTCTCCGCCTTCGTCGCGGGCATTTTGGGGAGAGAGGTGCTGAGACGGCAGCGAAGGGATCTGAATGGGAGAGAGGATGAAATAGTTTATTTTTTTATTATGTTTATTGTCATTTACGATTATACCCTTGTTGTTATGATAACAACACTTAGGGTGTTGTTATGCTATCTGGCCCCTTAATTATTGTCCCTACACTACTAATATAATATTCCACATATATGCCAAGGAAAGATTAATACTCGATCGGCACATTTGCAGTACCCCGGCCCTAGAAAGAAGTTTCACAATTTGAAGTAGTGTCCTATATAAAAATTTCAATAGATTATTACTAGTCAGAAACAGTACTATAGTATGTTATATATGATGCTGCCTATGAATCTATCCCAAGTTTTGAAGCTCATACAATCTGGAATACACTCCAGCCGTAGCCATCAAAAGAGTAGCATGAGTACCCATCTCCACGATCTCCCCTTTATCCATCACCACTATGACATCCGATTTCTTAATCGTGGAAAGCCTGTGTGCCACAGTAATCTGCGTGATCCTCGACAAGGACGATGCGTTGTTGCTCTCATTTATCATCTCCAGAGCATTCACCACTGACCTCTCAGACTCGGTGTCCAAAGCACTCGTCGCCTCATCCAGGAGCAATATCGCCGGCCTCTTGAGCAGAGTTCTTGCAATGGCGACTCGCTGCTTCTGCCCTCCTGACAGCTGGCACCCTCTGTCCCCAACAACCGTATCGTACCCATCTTGTAGATTGCTGACGAACTCGTGAATGTTGGCTTCCCTCGAAACTTGAATCACTTCTGCTTCCGTTGCTTGCTCGCTGCCGTACGTGATGTTGTCCCGAATCGAGCAGCTAAATAGAAGTGGCTCTTGCTGTACCAATCCAATTTGCCTCCTCAGTCCTCTGAGGTTATACTCTCTTACGTCCTTCCCGTCGACCAGGACGCTTCCCTTCAACGGGTCGTAGAATCTGAGAAGAAGAGCCAGAACTGATGATTTCCCAGCTCCACTCGGTCCGACCAGTGCCACTTTCAGACCGGGTTCGATTTCCAGGCTGAAGTTGTTGAGCACGGCCACCTCTGGGCGTAGCGGGTAGTTGAACTCCACGTTCCGAAACTCAACTCTTCCCGTCACCCTCTTGAGCGCGTCATCCGTTTTGGGGGAGTCGGGGTCGATCTCGGTCTTCCGATCGAGCGTCTCGAACGTCGGGGATAGGACTTTCATGGCCGAGACGACCGTCGGAATCAGCGTCCATAGCTCGGTGATGGAAGGCACGGTGAGGGAGAAAATCTGGTACGCTCGAATGCCGTCCTTGAAGGAGGATTGATGTCGCTCCACTAGACGAGTAGTGTACCACAGGGCGACCGCGTGTGCGATGTTCCACAGGCAGAGGGATACACCTTGGATGATCCCGAACTTGATGCTTTGGGCCCTGACATTTCTCATGGGCTTTTTTAGGCTCTCTTGGGCTTTGGCGATGATATGGGGCTCGTAGCAGAATGAGGCGACGGTCCGGATATTGGATGTGGACTCGGATGTGAGGGCGACGAGTTCCTGGTGAGAAGCGGCGGAATCGCCGGAGAAGCCTTTGGCGGATTTCGCCTGGATGAGCCCTCCAATGAAGTGGCAGGGCATTACTGCCCAAGCTACCAGTGCCATTCTCCAGTCGACTCGAATGCTGACGACGGTTGCTATCAGGATGGAGGAGACGCATTGGACGATGACGGACATGCGGTCGGCGATTATGGTTTTTACAGAGGATGTGTCGTGGATGATTCTTGAAGTGAGACCGGAAATGTTATTCTCTGGTTTCTCAAACCAACCCAGTTCGTTTCTCAGTACACCTGAATGCACGTACATAACATAATTAATACCACACAAATCTATTACTATTTACTAAACATGCATGTTAATTTCATGACATTGAGAATATTAGGTAGCTAGCTACTACTTAAAATGATCGACATGCATGCATGCATATATATAGGTCGGTCACCTGACCTGAGTATAGAGCTCTCCTTAGGTTGGTCATGGCCTTCTCCCCTACCACTCCAAAGAAGTAATGCTGCAAGGTGTGGCTGAACAAAGAGATCAAACCAACCAAAGAAAAAATGATGGAGTACTTTCCGACTTTACGCCTTGCATGACCTTGGTAGTAAGCTACTCCCACGGTGATAATGTAGAACCCAAAAAACGGCTTTGATATTCCTGAGAAGGCGGCTGCAAATGAGCCAATACTAGCCTGCACTATTTCTTGCTTTCTCAGCCCATACCAAATTCTGAAGAAGTTATGACGACGACGTCTCTTCTTTCCTTTCGATTGTTGGTCTGAGACCGCGCTTGGAGCTTCATAGGACTGGGACACATCTTTCTGTTCCTGCAGCAGATGATCATCATCTGTTGGCAAAGTGGTCTCCTCCTGGATGACGGCATTTGTTACTGTTTCTTTTGAACCTGCAGCTTCAGTCCTATACAATAATAAGTCAATTAATTAAGAGTCAGATATGTATGTTGCTACTCTTATAATAATTTGGCATTTATAACATCCATGGAATTAATTAATGCGAGAAGTGAAGTGAAGTGAAATACCAACCCTGAATGATCATCATCATCGTCAGGATTGAGATTCTGCATGATGCACAAATTATTGTAGAAGGCATTTGATTCCAACAAGCTACGATGTGTTCCTGTGTGTGCCACCTGTCCATTCTCCACAACTGCAATGATATCAGCATTGATTATGGTGGACATCCTGTGTGCAATGAGTATAACCGTTCTCCCTTGCATGGCCTTCTCGAGGGCATCTTGGACCAGGCGCTCGGATTCTGAATCAAGTGCACTAGTAGCCTCATCAAGAAGAAGGATTGGAGGGTCCTTCACAATGGCTCTAGCTATGGCAATCCTCTGTTTTTGCCCTCCAGATAACTGTACTCCCCTCTGCCCCACCTGCGTGGAATATTGGTTGGGCAGCTGCGAGATGAAGGAGTGAGCATTGGCCATCTCTGACGCGTGTTGGATCTTTTGGTCGTCGGCCTCCATGTTTCCTACCCTCAAGTTGTCTTTGATGGTGCCAGCAAATAGAGAGGGTTCCTGAGAGACAGCTCCAATCTTGTTTCTGAGTGACCCAAGTTCCAGGTCCTTAATGTTGTGGTTGTCAATGAGAACGTCTCCTGGCCGGCCGGAGGAATATATAATCATATTAATTAAATTAAATTAAATTAAATTAATGGAAGGAACGTACGAATTAGCTAGCTTAATTAGCTTGTTACGTTTAGGGCATATATATGCATGCAGCTTCAGATATTAGCTAGCTAACTAGCTAGGTAGATTTACGCACGCACGCACCTCTCAAGGGGTCATAAAACCTGGCCACAAGTGAAATGATGGTACTCTTCCCACAACCGCTACTACCAACCAAAGCCACCATTTTGCCAGCAGGAATGGACAAGGAGAATCCCTTGAGGACCAACATGTCTGGCCGTGAGGGATAGGCAAAGTACACATCACGTACTTCAATGTTGCCGTCCACCTTGTCTAGCACTAGCGTCGTCGTCTTTGCTGCTTTGGAGTCATGATGATGGCGGGTTGCTATTTTGGGCTTCCTTTGGATCACTTGCAAAATCTCATTTCCAGCCACCATTGCCTGGTTGAAAACTTGCATGTCTGGAGCAGCATAAGTCAAGGATCTGCAAGCAAGATTATTTTTTATATCCAAAGAAAGCAATTATATTACTAGCTAGCTCGCTGGCCTATATATATACATAGTCGTCGATGATCGTACGTACGTTTCAATTCATTCAAGGTTTAATTGTGTTGTACGTACGTAGATGTGTATATACAAATACAATACGAATACGTACATGCATGCATGATAATAGATCATCAACTTACATGGCGCCGAAGAGAATGCTCATGACAGCCGCAATCACATCTCCGCCAGCTGATCTCCCTGAAGTGACAACAAGGGCTCCAATCCAGATGATGATTGCCCATGAACAGAAGGTCACTGCCTGAAACATCCCAGTCCCTATCCCTTTCGTCAATGCTTCAACTTTGCTCAGCGAGAGTTGCCTGGTTATGCACTCAGTGAAAGCCTTGACACCTCGAGACTCTCCAACAAATGCAAAAACCGTCTTGATCTGAGTGATTGTCTACAAGAAAAGAATGATGCATGGTGATGGAAGCAAACCATTTAATTTATTAATTAAGAATATTGTTAGGTTATGTATGTATGCCTGCATCAAATTATTATTATTATCACCTCTTCAACCATGCTTGTTGCTTCAGATAGGTAGCCCATTTTCAAGGCAGAGATGGCGTTCATCTTCTTGGTGTAGGTGGCCCCGATTCCTAGGATCATAGGAACCACCATAAGGGTTAGGAGTGAGACTTCCCATGAGCATATGGCCGCGATGAAGACCCCTGAAAAAAATGTGGCGAAGCTCGACAGGAAGTGGCCCAGCTGCATGCATACATTGACATTAATATTGGTTAAGTTAATTAATTAATATTGGCCATGCATCATGCATATAATATATAGTACCTTCTCTCCAATGGCGTCTTGAATGATACTCATGTGATTGGTGACCCCTGTTATGATCTTTCCGGTGGTCAACTCGGTATCAAAAGCTCCAACTTCTTGGCCAAGCACGGCTTTCAAGTACTCTATTCTCCATCTTGCCAGTTGGCGTTCGCTTGAGTACATCCAGCAACCAATCTCTGCATTTAATTAATTATATGTATATATTTTTACCGACTTAATCAATCAAGCTCATTAGCTAGCCACAGGATATATGCAGTTAATAATAGCCTGCTTCAGCAACCAAGCTTAATTCATTTTAATGACGAATGAAACATCCCAAAACGACAACTCGATCTGTATAATTAAGATCACGGAGGGAAATAAATTAATATGCAAGTAATTAAGGTTAATATATATTAATTAATTACTGTACCAAGTACTCCAGCAGGAAAGGTAGCTATGGCCATGTACCAGACAAATGGAATAACCTGCATACATTAAAAAACCCAGACGTACAGCATATATATATATATGTTAGAACCCCAATCTGGTGAGAAATTATCCATTAATCACTAGCTAGCTAGCTAGTGATTGACTGATTGTTATAACTACACTAGTTTCTATATATCAGCAATAATTAATTTTTCTGTTCGTTGAATGAGCGCACTTCTTATATATCCAATTAATGATCTGTATAAGTAAGTAAGTAATTAATGATAGATATATATTACGTTACGTACCTTGTCCAAGGCCTTGACCATGGCGACATCATCGTTGATGTTGTTGCCGAAGGCATCGAGAGCTTTGCCAAGCAACAGATATCCCACAGGCTGAGCCATCCCATGTACTACAGACCCCAACACCCCCAGCCCCATTAGCAACCAGTCCAACCCATCGGCATACATAAGCAGCTTCCTAAACGGCACCGCTCTACTCTTCCTCGCTGCCGCCTCCTTCTTCTTCACATCGCCATCATCACCTTCATCCACCCGCGCCCGCCCGCTGCTTCCACGATCATCATCATCGACCTCTCCGTCCTCCTTGTGCTTTTCTTGCTCCATTAATTAATACCTCTCCTTTCTTTTCTTTCTCTTCTCTACTTTTGTGTTCCCGGCCCAATTACATGTAATGTATGTATAGAGTGTTTCGCTGCCTAGCTTATAGTGATTTGGAACGAGAAACATATATATATATATTAATCTTCTCTACTATATATATTTTTTTTGTCGGCGTCCCCGACTCCCCATCATCATTGTTCGTCAATATATAAACTTTGCTTTCTCTTGAGGAATATTTGTGAGGATATACTTGCCGCCGGAATTAGCAAGGGCCGGGGGTTAGTTTGCACTTTGCATCGGCCGGCCTTTGGAGTTGGGCCCAAGTCCTTATCTTTGGGACGTACGTTTTCTGCATCTCAAGAATAAAATCACAACCTTTCTCATCAATCATCATATATATATATATATGAAAATTGGTCTACTCTTTTAACCATGTCATAAAAAAATGAAATTAACTAGTCTTGCACCACCACAAACTACAATGAAAATTTTGACGACCGAATATACTATAGAATCAAACAAAATAGGGGGGAATGAAGATCCCATTTTAATTTCAAAGAGTTTGATTCATTCAGACCGGCCGGGTCAAAGCTTTGTGCAATAATCAGCTACAGCCTACAAGGCCCAACAAATGACAAGAGGTCCTTGATCCAGCCGGCAATTTCTTGTCCAGCCACAACAATACAATACAATAAAACGAGCTACATAGGAATAAATGATGGCCCCATGCCTACATTTCCTGGTTACGTTTTAAATTATTATTATTATTATTATTATTATTGTATTTATGAAACACATTTAGATAAAATAAGTTTTTGAGAACATTTCTAGATAATATAATTGCTTGAATGAGCACGACAGATAACAAAAATCCAATAATTATATATGTTTCTCGCGGAACTGAACCGCTTTATTTCCATCGCCGTTCAAGCGTGCGACTCTTCAATCGCCAAATCCGGCGACGCCCCACCGTCTCTCTGGCGGTTGGGGTCCAATCCGTTATGGATTTCGGCCATATATGGCCTTTGATCCTCCATGGATCCTCCCATCTGTCTGATTTTTCAGCATATTATCATAAGGAAATCCAGTCCTTTGACTCCCTACCTCTGTTGGTGACGATGTCGGATGTGGTGGCCATCTACAATGACACTACCATTGCTGCTTCTGAGGAGCGTGATGGACTCAGTCTCCTTGGACGCGTTTTTGGCCCGGCTCCCTCTACTGGCAGTCTACATCATTTTCTCGCCCATGTTTGGAGATGCCAGGGCTCGCTCACAATCCTTGAAGCCCCTTTTGGTCTCCACCAGTTCATCTTTTCAATTCCTTCAGATAGGAACAAGGTGAAGGCGGCAACCCCTTGGATTTTGGATCGCATAATGATCCATCTCCGAGACTGGTGCATCCCTACGGCGGAAGTGGCTGAATCTTTACTCAAAGTCCCGCTCTGGCTGCAATTTTGGGAGGCCCCGTCCCGGTGCCTTACTTCTCTGATGGCATGCTGCCTAGGTTCTGCTCTGGGTTCTCTCCTAGAGGCTGGCGTGCATATTGGCTCCAAGACAGGCGGCGTTTTTCTTCGCGCACGGGTTCGGTTGGACGTGTCTCTTCCACTACCCAAATCTGTGCAAGCTTCCCACGAGGATCCGTCCAAGGGTTCTTTCAAATCTAAGGTCTTGTACGACCGCCTTCCCATCTTCTGCTTTTGCTGCGGTATTATTGGGCATACAAGTAAGCGCTGTCTTCATGCTCCGGAATTCATCGGCAAAGCGCTGCCTTATGGGAAGTGGATCTTGGCGAGTGAGATGGGTCCAAAGGTGGATGATCGCTCCCTTCGCCGTCGGTTTGCAAGGACATCGTGGTCCCGGGCGGATGGTGTTCCTTCCCGTTGTGCACCTCTAAGCCTTCCGGCGCCGGAACAGCAATCTAGGGAGGAGGAGACTCGTTCCTCTCTCCAGCGCCTGTCTATTTCCCCAAGGCCTGATCCTGATCATTCACAGGCTGTCTCTCTTGGCAGGAAGCGCTCCAGTGGGGATGGAGACCCGGACCCGGCGGCAGCGGATCTTGGTCAGCCGCCGCAAAAGTCCTCTCGCTTGTCTTCCTCCTTTTTCCCAACAGCTGGCAATTTGGAGGACTCGGCTCATGTTTTAGCTACAGAGAGCAACATAATCTCTGGTTCTGAATCGGTGGTGGAAACCGGCCTTAACCGGTCCCAGGCGTCAATATGAGTTTTCTCGCATGGAATTGCCGTGGTTTTGGCAAATCCTTGGCAAGGAAATCGCTCTTAGCTGCTGTTCGTATTAGGCGTCCTATGGTGGTTTTTCTGTGTGAAACTAAATGCAAGGATAATAAAGTTAAGAATCTTCTGCGTCGATTAGGTTTTCCCGAGTGTTTTCTTGTTAGTCCTGTTAATACTAAGGGGGGAATGGTTGTTGCATGGTCTTCTGAAGTTGTTTGTTCCGTTGTCTCCCATTCTCAGGCGTACATGTTTGTTGAATGTGTGCATCCTGTTTATGGGACGTTAGTTTTGGTTTTTGTTCATTTGGATTGTAATGAAGGAGTGCGCCAACTTCAACTTAATGAAATTTCTATTGCTCTTTCGTCTTGTGTGTACCCCTTCTTTGTTATTGGGGATTTCAATTGTCTTTTGGCTACGTCTGAGAAAGTCGGTGGTCGTCCTCCCACACCTCAAGCTTTATCTCAACTTCATTCATTCCTTACATCTTCTCATTTACACGATGTTGGTTTTCATGGTCCTCCTTTTACGTGGACCAATCGCCGTTCCTCTGATCATATTATGGAGCGCCTAGATCGCTGCCTAGCTTCTTCGCAAGCTCTCTCTTTGTGGACAGGTATGATGGTTCATCACTTATCTGATCTTGGTTCTGACCATCGCATGCTCCTTTTACAGTTACATCCTACTGCAGCACGTACCAGGGCCAATTTTCACTTTGACAGTCGTTGGATTGATAATCAGGAAGCTTTCGATATCCTGGTGGAACAATGGGGACATCCGCCATCGGGCTCATTTCAATTTCAGCTTCATTCTGTACTAAAAACATCTAGACATCTTCTGTTCTCCTGGGCTTCAAAGGGCACGTCTAATTCTGCTCGTGCCATTCGTGAACTCCAGGATGCGATTGAGTCAGAACGTAATCTCCCTGGTGTGGATTGGTCCAAAGTTTCTCTTCTAGAACATCAGCTCGCTGCAGCATATGTCCAGGAGGAACGGTATTGGCAACAGAAGTCACGGGTCCTGTGGCTCACTGAGGGTGATTCCAATACTCGATTCTTTCATCTTACTACTCTTCAGAGGCGTCGTTCGAATCGTATTTTGGTTCTCCGGGATGAGGCAGGCACTCTTTTCCATGACGAGGATTCCAAAGGTATGATTGCGGTTCATTATTTTGTCCATCAGTTCACCTCTGAAGCTGTGCACGTTAACTACTTTGTGGACCAGTTGGTGCTCCCGGTTATGGTGACCTCCCAAATGAATTCCTCACTCATCCGTTTGGTAACAAGGGATGAAGTGCGTGATGCTGCGTTCAGTATTGGACGTCTCCAAGCACCGGGTTCCGATGGTTTTACTGGTTTGTTCTTTCAATCTTATTGGAATTTGGTGGGTACTTTGGTTGAAGCAGCTGTCTTGGAATTCTTTAGCTCTTGCCATCTTCTCCATAATTTGAATCATACCTGGATTTCTTTGCTTCCTAAGGTCCCAAATGCGGATAGCATGAGGCAAATGCGGCCGATTAGTTTGTGCCAAGTCCCATACAAAATCATTTCTAAGATTTTGACTGCTCGGCTCGGGGATGTGCTACCCCATGTGATTGGCCCTTACCAAAATGGGTTTGTTAAAGGTCGGCTCATCTCTGACAACATTCTGTTAGGTCAGGAGGTCATGCAATCTTTCAAAATAAAAGTTCAGGGACATGAGAAATGGATGGCACTTAAATTAGACATGGAAAAGGCATATGACAGGGTGGAATGGGACTTTCTCTTTGCCATTATGCGGAAACTAGGTTTTGCAGAAAGGTGGATGCAATGGATTTGGGCTTGTGTTTCGACTGTCTCTTTTTCTGTTCTCCTCAACGGCTCGCCTCATGGATACTTTCAGCCTCAGCGTGGCATCCGTCAGGGTGACCCGCTTTCCCCGTTACTCTTTGCCCTTTTTACTGAAGGATTATCTGCTTTAATTAATCAAGCTGTCGAGAGCAAATTTCTTCATGGTTTTAGGATTCATCGTCGCTGCCCAGTCTTGTCTCACCTCTTCTTTGCTGATGATGCTTACCTTTTCCTTCGCGCTTCCCTTCCAGAATGTCATAATTTGTTATCATTGCTTGATTCTTATCAGCAGGTGAGTGGTCAAAAAGTTAATTTGCAGAAATCAACCATCTCGTTCAGTGCCAATGTCACCCAAGTCGAGGCTCAAGGCATTATATCTGCTTTGGGAGTATCTCCAAGTGGTGATAATGATCTCTATCTTGGACTTCCCATCCGGATATCTCGTTCGAAGCAGGATTCCTTCCGGTATATTGAAGACAACCTGCTTCATAAAATTCAACGATGGAAGTCTCAATCCATGTCTTTGGCTGCCAAGGAAGTGGTTCTCAAATCAGTTGGCTTTTCCTCTCCTAATTATGCTATGTCCAGTTTTCGTATCCCATCTACCTTTTGTCGCAGGCTAAATGGGCATTTGGCTCGATTCTGGTGGGCTTCTCAGGACAAGGAGAACGGGTTGCGATGGGCTTCCTGGCGTGAACTCTGTCGCCCAAAGGCTGAGGGAGGGCTAGGTTTCCGGGACCTTGATAGTCACAATATTGCTCTTCTAGCTAAGCAGGCTTGGCGGATTGTCCAAAATCCGGATGGTCTCTTAGCCATCAACTATAAAGGCAGGTATTTCCCTCACTCTTCCTTTCTTCTTGCTCCTCAGGGTTCTAGGCCTTCCTGGGCTTGGCAAGGTATCCTTGTAGGTCGCTCTCTTCTGCAATCCGGGCTTTGTTGGCGAA